GTTTCTTAATTCAACAGTGTGGAGAAGAGAATTTTATAAAGTATTACAATTCCTAGTGTGGTCCTGGGGCCAGGAGTAGCACCTCAGGCTCACCCAAATCTACTGAATCTGAAAACAACATGGTGACAAATTTGCATGTGCCTTGAATTTTTGGATGCATGAATGTGAAGATAATTATGATTTTAATGTGGATGCGAAAGGTTACACTTAAAAAATTTTACATTTTACTATTATCCCTATTTCTACTTACCAGAATATGCTATTTGTAAGAATATTCCAGATTTTGCGTTTCTTTGAAATGAATTAAAGTTAGTGAGACAATCAAGCCAAGCTCACTCTTTCTGTGTGCTGGTCTTAGAAGTGAATGAACACATTAGAAACCATCCACTACTTCCAAAGCAGAAACTGTGGGCAAGATGGACCAATAAATAAGCAAGAAGTCATTGTCATGAGGGCTTCTGCAGTGGAAGTGTTTTGCTCAGGTGAAAATACAAGACACAACCAAAGCATGCTAAAGAAGCAACTGGTGTTATTCATCCTACTTCCAGCGTTAGGCACATTCGTCTTTGTTAGACACTCCATTTGCCAGAAATACTACCTCAAGGCCAAGAGATAGGAAAAAGGGAATAGGTTTCTTTGCATACTGAATTTTCTTTAAAAGCACATTCTATTTCAAGAACTGTCTGAATTACTTTCCTTGTCTCTGGAACACAATATTCCACACACAACTGGAAGGAGAAGAGGTTTTGGCTCATGTTTTAGAGGTTTCAGTCCATATTTGGGAGGCTTCAGCACAGAAATGGAATCTGGAAGGGCCTGACTGGAGGAAGCTACTCATGTCATGGTGGCCAGGGAGTAGACAGGAAACGAAGGAGCTCAGCAGGGAGAGCCGCCCTTCCACATCACGCTCCCAACAAGTCAGCGATGGCACCCTTATCATCCAGTCCTTTTCCAAAAGGGCTGCGTAAGAATGCATAAGGCCACTGGAAAGCACTTCCAACATAAACCAAACCAAAACAAGAACCTAGCCCAATGGTATGCCCCATTCATGTGGTCTCCTTTAAGCAAATTAGTAAGAAAGACAAGTAAGTTGTTTGTACTGTTGAAATATTACCATGGTCCATCCCAATGTAGAACTCTCAGAAACCCTTCAGGGCACAGTACCCTAAGCACAGCAAGTGGGAGGAACCACACAACTTGTGAGTGGCCAAGCTGAAAACAGCCTACATCTTGGAAAAGATTTAAGAGGTGTGTGTGTATGTGTGTGTGTGTGTGTGTGTGTGTGTGTGTGTGTGTGTGTGTTTGAAAGGGAGGGGAATGGTTACACGGCATTAAGGTTCACTTAGATTTCTTCCACCTTCTACCATTCAGGTTTATATTATTCTTCTATTATTCCAGCTGAGGCCACCCTCAGCAAACAAACCAAAATAAGAATATTCTTGTTTTAGAATATCTTATCATTCTAAACATTTCTGTTTCTACAATAACACCAGGGTGTAATGCCAAAATAAATGACCTTTGGAATTACTCCTGTGACTTGTCAGGATGATTAGACTCTCTGAGTCTGAGATACCTAGACACTATTCCTAAGGAGAAATCAATGCCTAAGTACTTTACAAAGAGCACAGGAACAACGTTGTAAACTGCTTGTTTACAAGGGTAGTTTGTATGTGCAGGTGTGTGTGTGTACGTATGCATTTCAGAAATGAAAATTATGGTGGACACTTGAGTTACAACTAGACTGACATGTGAAATAATGTGGGTTATGACAAGAATTTTTGTTTTGATTTATGACCAAAGTCTTGAATTATGATCCAAATGCTGACCACTTGTGCTTTCAGATGGTCTCAGAAACAGATTTAACCCTTAAAGAGTTCTGCAAGCAATGTTACAATATCCTTTCCTGTATGGAATTGACTGATAAATCCTGGGCCTCTGTCTCTGTAAGAACAATGAGATCTGTCTGCATACAGGAGAAGGACTTTGAAGGCCAGAGAGAGGGGCCTGAGCTTTAAATAGACCACTTAAGTTATAACCAGCACTCAGAATGAGTTGAGTTCCTCAGTTCAGGGTCTGTTGCACAGATATGGGGGCACTAAATGTACAAAGAGGTTCAAAGTTTAGCTCAGATATTAGAAGGTGAAAACCACATATTAAGTTTTCTTAAGAGAAACTTGAGAAAAACAGTATAAAGAGATTAAAAACTTTTCTTATGTGAAAGGAAAATGATAACCTTCATAAAAGAATAAACAGCCAATGACAGCTACTATTGTATAAATCTTGAGTGTCCCCAGTGGATGGCAGTGGCTTAGTAGAAGGTGTTAGGTCATGTGGGGCCCCATCCCTTCCATTTTCTCTCTTTTCCCACATAGCCACCAAGAGGTGAACAGGCCTCTTCTTCAGTGTCCCCACTACAATGAACTATGTCACCACAGGTTCAAAGCAGTAGCAGGTCGATGGGTCATGGACAAAACTTCTGAAACTGTCATCTAAAATCAATTATTTTCTCTTTATAAGTTGATTGTGTCAGTTATTTCTCATGATAATGAAAAGCAGATGAACAACATATCCAACACATTTCTAGAGAGGAACAGAAAGGGGTATTTTATCAGATGAGGTTGCACTGTAGTGCCAACACACAGATGTGGGGGGATGATGTGCAAAGACACATTATTTAATAGATAATGCTTAAAAAGATAATTATGTTTGAGATAAATAAGAAATTAGGTCCCCACCATACAACAAGCACAGTGACAAACTTTATATACATAAGATTTAAAAGTCAGAACCAAAACGTTGAATCTTTAAAGATAACGTAAAGGCTGCCGAGACAGCTCAGCAGTCTAAGTGCCTGCCTAGGCAAGCACAAAGACCCAGGTTTGATCCCCAGTGCCGATCCTACCTTAGGTGCACCAAACCAGCCATCAAGATCAGACATGGTGCACATGCCTGTAATCCCAGCACTGGGTAGGCTGAAATAGGAGGATCACTACTAGTCCAAACTGCATAGTGAGATCCTTTACTAAATACATAAAACTATGGCTGGCAAGATAGCTCAGCAGATGAAGCACTTGCTTAGGCAAGTGCAGGGACTGAAGTTCAATCCCCAGCACCACATGCAGTGCTGGCCCTGCCCCTCGGCTCTGCTGAGTGGGCTCCTGATGATGGATCACGCCTGTAATCCCAGCGCTGTGAAGGGTGAAAACAGGAGGCTCACTAGGAGTCTGAGCTGTGTAGTAAGACCCTGTACCAAATACATAATAACAACTTAAAAATACATAAATTTTTTAAAAAGATAATGTAAAAGTATCTGAAACCTTGAGGTAGTTAAGGATTGTTTAATCATGCCTCAAGCAAAGAAGGCAACAAAACTTAAAAAAAAAAAAAAAATAGGCAAAGATGTCCTCAACAAACACACTTGACCAAAGAATAGTATTGAGATATATAAATAATTCTTATGAAGCAAAATGAGACAGTTTAATTTTAAGTAATGAGTAAAAGACAGAAATAGTTACTTTAGTTAAGAAAAAAACATGATTTATAAAACAGAAAGCAACAAACAAAACAGGCAAATCAAGACTACCATAAGATGCTATTTTGTACCCATATTAGTGGGAAGTCTGACTTCAACACCAACCGTTGGTGACTGTGTGGGATAACAGGGACTCCTTTGTACTGCTGAAGGACATAGGACATGTGAAGTGGTGCAGCTATTTTAGAAAACAATGTAGCACTGTCTCATGAAACTGGACATCTGCGTTCCTTACAGCATAGTGCTTAGGTGTATGACCAAGAAACATGCTCATACGAGTACACAGCCCAGGAGATGCGAGAGGAAGGTGCGCAGCAGACCTGCTTATAACAGCCCTGAACTGGAAATCACCGGAGTGCTCAGCAACAGGATGCGGAAACTGCAATGTGCTTGTGCAATAATACATTATATAGAAATCAAAACAAACTATGGCCACAACCCACAGGCATAGAAAAGCACACATACGTATGATTAATTTCATAACAAATTTCTCACTAGTATACAGAAAACTGCACATAAGTGTGGTAGACTAATTTTCATAAAGATCACAAATTCCCATGATGCATTTGTGCTGTTAGGGGCCAGTGGCATAGGACTTGAGTGATGCAGTTTCCAGCTCCAACTCTGCTTCTCACGAGGCCTGATAGGCTCCTGCTGCTGCTCCTGGAACTGTGCCCCAGCATGTGAACAAGCCTGGCTTGGAAGCGGACAATGAAAGACCACATGGTGATACCCCATTATTTTAACCACTGCTGTTTTAGCTCAGCTCTCAGCCGCTGACCCCTAACCATGCAAGAGGGTCCAGCCGGCAGTCGCAGCAGAGCCATATACTCGCTCCTCAGCTGACTCTTTATACATGAAGAAGAGCTACTAAAACGAGATCTTCCCGGCCCACTAACTTGTGAATGATAAAGAATATTTCTTATTTGAAAGCACTGAGTTGTCAGGTGGTATTTGTTATACAGCAGTGCCTGACAGATACAACAACTTTATGGCTTTGTGATATTTTCCTCCACAATGTGAATGTACCTATTGAATAGATCCAGATTTGGGACAACATTACCAGGACTCCAGAAATCTTTCCCTTGCCACCTTCCAATCACTAGCAATCCATTTCCTACCCGAGATAACTACAAACTTCATGTACAAAGAACTGTGAACACTCAAGCCTGTGTGTGTCTGGCTTCTTTCAAACTTTTATTTGCATCCATTTTGTTGTCCATTGCTGGGCATATTCTGTTATTCTCATTAATGTACAGTATTCAACTGAGTGTATGGATTAAAGTTTATTCATATAATAATTAAGGACTCTGGTGATAGTTCTAGTTTGGTAGTATTATAATTAGCAGAAGAAAGAACAGTCTGGTATATGTATTTTGGTGAATATATGTGTATATTTCTGTTGGGTTTATTAACATATTTTAGATTAAAAATCTAGATACAAAAACATTTTGCAGAGTATATTTCAGGGCTCGCTTCGGCAGCACATATACTAAAATTGGAACGACAGAGAGATGATTAGCATGGCCCCTGCGCAAAGTATATTTCAGCATATATATATATATATATATATATAATCTTAGCTTAGTATGCTACTTTCCATTTCCTATGATACCACTTTAATTCAGTTCAAAACAGTGAAAATCAAACAATAAAATGTTACAGGAACATAGATATGTATGATACACGTGTATGTCTAATCCTATGTAAATAAAATGTTAAGAATTATGTACTTGCACTGGATTCTGATTCATGTCTACCTGGGAGGGCAGAAAGTGGGGAAAGAAGAGGAGCCTATCAAACAGGGAAAAACCAGTAGTCTAGTTTTCATACTGTATAGTTATTTCATAGGCAAATATTTTATTATAAATAAACATGTATGTTCCTGCATGGATCAATGAGAAGAATGTGTTGGAATGAAGGATAGCAATATTCAATTGCTGAAATATGTGTAGGCTACCTAAATAAAGTAGGAACTTAGAGCTGAAAAGTCCTGACAAATAACCATTTCTTACGGCAGACTTTATATTAAAAAAGACCAGAGACCAAGAGGTTTAAGCAACTTGCCCAGAAGTCATTGAGATATTCCTTTGATGTGAATCCTGAAATAAAAGGTTAAAGGTAATTTTTCTTCTCTGGTTTATGTTTGGTGCAAACTGTTACCTTAGAAATATGCTGCATTCTAATGTTTAAAAAATGATCATCATAGTTCAGGCTCACAGGTCTGTTACTTCATAAAATATTCCT